GGAGTCAAAAATTTTTTCCGGACAGACAATAAGTCAAATATAAACTGTAAATTGTCTGAATCTAATGATTTTCGTACAAAAATCATCGTTGTAAATGTGATTTATCACGTATTTTTTAATAACTAAAAGGTCACTTCTGCCCCCCCTGCCCCCCCCTAGCAAAAGGCAAGGGGGGCAGCCGCCCCCCCCCTGCCCCACCCAGTTCCGGCGTCCCTGGTGGTATCGTTCGATACTTGCACCCTTTTTTAAAAGACTGGTTTATTTTCACTTCTTGGTTGAACTAAGACTTAATGAACCACAAATTAACTCTTAATATTCCAAATGTGGTGCGCCAAGTCATGTATAGAAAATATTTATTACGTTTCGGACTTTTAGTTTACTTATAGCTTTATTTAGGTTACATACAGTAATGTAAAATGTTTTTCCGCTGAGCGGCAGGTAGCGAAAGTAGCCGATACTAGCAATTTAAGTACTCACTTCCGGTATCGAAAATTCAAATTTTGTGTTCATTTTGGTATCGAAATAGGTATCGGTATCGTCCGATACCGATCTTGAAAGTATCGGTATCGGCATCGAATTAAAAATCCTGGTATCGCCCATCACTAGTGATCGAATGATGCTATCCCAGGAAGCTTTGCGCGTGTTGTAGGAAAACTAGGCACCAGTCTGTCAACCGTCAAAAAGCGCTCATCATGAGAATTTTCGTTTTCAAAATGGTCTTTTGTATAACAAAAATACCTACCTCCACAAGCTATAATATAGTTCCCATGAAGTCATGAAGAATTTAAGATTAACTCAATCCCTCAATCAAAACATTGGTATCGAAATTGAGGAGACCGGACTCAGGCCTGGACAGGGACGCCGGAACTGGGGGGGCCAGGGGGGGCGCGGCTGCCCCCCTTGCCTTTTGCTAAGGGGGCAGGGGGGGGGCAGAAGTGCCCTTTTAGTTGTAAAATAATACGTGATAAATCACATTTCCAACGATGCTTTTTGTAGGAAAATCATGAGATTCAGGTAATTTATAGTTTATATTTATAAAAATTTTGGGAAATTTTTGGAATTTAGAAAAATATTTTGAAGAAATGGCGAAAATTTAAGATATCCGGAAAAATTTTTGGCTTCACGGAAAATTTTTGTATGTCCGGAAAAAATTTTTGACCCCTAAAATGGTACACTGACCGAAATTTTTTTTGCAGTGAAAAAAAAAATTTCAGTAAAGGTGCCTTGGTGTGCGTCCGCCCCCCTTTGCCCTATTATCGTTCCGGCGTCCCTGGGCCTGGAACACCTGGGGGCCCAACTTGCGGGCAGGGGGCCCTGGCATGCTGGAATTGCGAAATTTGTAAAATTAAGGATTTGTTCGGTGAATTATGGAATTTTTGGGAAATTTAGGTCGAAAATTAGTGTTGGGAAAAATTTTGGGGACTTTTGTTTTCGGAAACATAACGTCGCCCCCCCCCCACCCCCCCTCCCACTCGCGACCGTTTTCCGGAAAAGAAAATGTTTTCGAGGGAGCCCTGCTAGGGTAGGGATCGGAGGCCCAAATGTTTTAATACGCCCTCCCCCCAATCATATACCGGTTGGCACGGCCCTGTCAGTTTATACTATAATAATTAGTCAGTATAGTCTTTTAAATATATAATGCTTGAAGAATTAAGTTCAAGAAACTTGAAGTAGTAATATCTTCAAAGAACTGCCAACATTTCACATGTTGTCTTTTATTCTCCTGTAACATAACGGTTGTAAATGTAGTTTCAAATCGAGTTGCAAATCTAGGGTTAACAAAAGGTCAAATCTACTCTTTTGAATTTTAATACAGTGTGGGCCAGTTCCAATTACAATTCACTATGACATGAATTACGTGTATGAAATTACTTTAATTGTCATATGTGAAATGTATAATTTCATAATATGTGAAATATATAACTTGATTTTCATATATGAAAATTCACATATGAAATTACCAATATTAACATATGAAATGGATTTCATATATGAAATTTCTTTTTTCATATGTAAATTGTATATAACTTCATATTTGACTTGATTTTCATATATGAAAATTCTTATATGAATTTAGCTACCAAATTTCACATGTGAAATTTAGTTTTCCATATGTGAAAAAATTTATTTTTCCATATGTGAAAATTCTTATATGAAATTACCAACTTTCACATGGGAAATGGATTTCATATATGAAATTTCTTTTTTGATATGTGAATTATATAACTTCATATATGACTTGATTTTCATAATCTGAAGATTCTTATATGAAATTACCACATTTCACATGTGAAATGGATTTCATATATAAAATTTATTTTTTCATATGTGAATTGTATAACTTCATATATATGACTTGATTTTCATATATGAAAATTCTTATATGAAATTACCAAATTTCAGTGTGAAATGGATTTCATATATGAAATTTAGTTTTTCATATGTGAATTGTATAACTTCATACATGACTTGATTTTCGATATATGAAAATTCTTATATGAAATTACCAAATTTCAGTGTGAAATGGATTTCATATATGAAATTTAGTTTTTCATATGTGAATTGTATAATTTCATATATGACTTGATTTTCATATATGAAAATTCTTATATGAAATTACCAAATTTCACATGTGAAATGGATTTCATATATGAAATTTAGTTTTTCATATATGAAATTAAAATTTCATATATGACCTGCTTTTCATATATGGAAATTTAATATGTGAAAAAGAGATTTTCACATATGAAACTGAAATTTCATATATGAAATTACCTTTTCACATGTGAAATTCTAATTTCATATATGAAAATCTTCATTTCATATATGAAATTCCAATTTCATATATGAATTTTAATGTGAAATTTTTGTAAGGGCAGAGTTTAAGGTTTAAGGTTTTGGAAGGACAACCTTAAATGAATTAGCTGTATATATTGATCGTTCCCCTCCTATCTTATTTAGAACTCGTCTAGATCTATTTCAAGCATTCCAAAAAGAATTACGATCTCTAACGTTTGTGAATTGTTGTCCTTGTTTGATATGAACTATACTCGAACTGCTTGAACTACATCATCATGAACCAGACTTGAAGATCATTCGGCAATGTATGATACTTCTTTTCGTTTTTCTTCTAATAAATTATAGCGTTCTTTATTGTTCTGGAAGTTCAATCTGTAAATACGGAGAAATAAGGGAATTTAATTAATGCCAAGAACGCTTGTTAAAATATGTTTTCGATATTTGACCTGTAAATACGGCCAAATTAAAAAGAATTATATTTACCAGAGGGGATAGGGTGGAAAACAGATCCTCGTATGCTCTTCTAGTAGCAGATTTAACGCTATCGATCATCAAAATTTGTGTGCTGTTTTGAAGGTAGGACTGAAACCATTCTAGCACCTTGTCTCTAATTCCAAACCGTTTTGACATTCGTTCAAGTAGGATTTCATGGTCAACTGTGTCGAACGCTGCGGACATGTCCAACAACAGTAAAACTACACATATCTGATTCTCAATAGCGATAAGAATGTCATTCTGAACCTTAAGCAGGGACGTACGTTTCAATACTGTGGAAGAATGGCCAGACCGGTCATGCTTCTCGATTATCTGGCGAAAATGGATCTTCGTCAACATTGATACAAATTTTCGGATTAGATTGGCCTGAAGTCCAAATGTATATTGTGTTCCATTCAGCAATGTCACCGTTCTGACTGGTCTCGTCGTGTTAATGGAAAGCGCCCCATCGAGACAAGAAAGAAAATGCTATACGGTATATTACAATGCGATTTGCGTGGAAAACAGGCTTTAAGAGCGAAGGTCCACTAATATCGAGCATCAGCCGGTCACACTCAAAGTTTCGATTTTGCTCATTTTTGATTTGCTGGAAGGCATTACCAAGTAAACAAACGTGATGTAGTTTGTTTTTCAAAAAACTGCTAAAATTCTGAGAAATCCGAGAAAAACGATTCAACTGTCGGCGGCCTCAAAAATATACAAATTTTAAATTGAATCAAACAGGTTCAAAAACAACTAACGCATGCAGAATTGGAAAAGATATGAAAACTGTACGTTTGTAAATCGATGCAAGAGATGTTTGAGACTTGATTGAGTATAAAATCATGATTTTAGCTATTAATTAAAACCAGACAGCTGATATTTAGAATCGTATGGTATTCACACATAGCGAAAATTACAATCTACCGTTGCCACGCAAGAACCATTTTAACTAAGTGCCCCAGATTTTTTCTACACGAAACGTACGCCATTACCTAATTAAATGTTTTTCTATAACATATAAAAAAAAATAGTTTGGGTTATTGTATTTAGAGTTCGTACGGAGGCCGTGAATATTGTGTATTTTCGACATATAGCGTGACTGAAATCGACAAATGTTTTGTTCATTCCGGACAGTTCCGGTCGCTATTTTCTCATAAATAGTTGCTATTTTCATTGGGAATTAAACCCGAAAATGCATTTCCTTAAAAATAGCTATAATTAGTAATTTACATGGTTTTAGCAGTTACAGCATTCTTTCAGATTAAGTAGATAGTGCTATGACCGAGAAATTTCTGTAGGCTATATTTTATACCGATTACATGGAGAGTTTTCAGCCCAGGCTGAATTTCAGCCCAGGCTGAATTTCAGCCCAGGCTGAATTTCAGCCCGGTAAACCGAGCCGAAATAGCATCACGATTACATGGGCAGTTTGAACCTGGGCTGTGTTTTAGTCAGAGCAATATTTATCCCTTGTAGTAAACAAAACCGGGCTGAAATGTCATCCCGGGCTGAACTGAATCATACGAAATCACGAAAGGCAATATTCCGCTTGTTTGAGCATTTAAAACGCCGATTAGTCGACTATTTGACTTGTGTAAGACTGTGGTTGCATATACAGTATGAAAGATGAGACGAAATGCAAAATAAAGCCATTTAAACGATTGTTGTTTGTAGCCCGGGCTGAAATTATTTGCGATTACATGGGATATTTCATCCCGGTTGACAGGGCTGAAAATCTCATCACGCGGGTGACATAAACCGGGAGCTGAAATTCAGCCCAGGTTGAAATATTTTCCATGTAATCGTAAAATTCATTTTATAATGAATTTATAGGGGCACCGGGCTGAAAACCTCCATGTAATCGGCCCCTTACTTTCTGTAAATTTCCTTACTTTCTTTTACCTACAGACAAAACTTAGCACATTTTCACTAAGCTGTAAAAGAAGCATGACTTCGAAATTATTTTCAGTTTTTTTAATTGTTACTTTGCATGTGGTTTGGCTGAACATGCTCGGAGAAATTGTAATAAAATTCAGAGACGGAGGTGGTTAAAACTGAAACTTTCTGCTCAGTTTTATGGCCTTTTTCTCATTGAATATTTCAGTTTGTCGGGTTTGTTTTTGGTATATTGTAGCTTGAAATCCTAAACACTTTTGTGGTGAAAAGTAAACTATCAGGTATTAAGGAAGCCTCACATATCGATTTTGTCCATGAGAAACGTCATATGTTCGTTTCCAATGAAAATAGCAACTATTTATGAGAAAATAGCGACCGGAACTGTCCGGAATGAACAAAACATTTGTCGATTTCAGTCACGCTATATGTCGAAAATACACAATATTCACGGCCTCCGTACGAACTCTAAATACAATAACCCAAACTATTTTTTTTATATCTTATAGAAGAACATTTAATTAGGTAATGGCGTACGTTTCGTGTAGAAAAAACCTGGGGCACTTAGTTAAAATGTTTTTTGCGTGGCAACGGTACATCGTAATTTTCGCAATTTGTGAATACCATACGATTCTAAATATCAGCTGTCAGGTTTTAATTAATAGCTAAAATTATTATTTTATGCCAAATCAAGTCTCAAACATCTCTTCTATCGACTTGCAAACGTATAGTTTTCATATCTTTTTCCTACTTTGCATGCGTTACTTGTTTTTGAACCTGTTTGATTCAACTGAAAATTTGCATATTTTTGAGGTCGCCGACAGTCGAACGGTTTTTCTCGGATTTCTCGGAATTTTAACGGTTTTTGAAAAACAAACCATATCACGTTTGTTTACTTCCTAATGCCTACCAGCAAACCAAAAATGAGCAAAATCGAAATTTTGAATGTGTCCGCGAATTCTCGATTTTGCTCCATTTTAGTGGACATCTGCTCTTAAAAGATATCAAATATCATCTGACTGTAATCACATGTTTAATTAAACGATTTGAAATGTTGTTTCCTCAAAAAAAATGGCGAAAAACGCCCCCAAACTGTCGAAAAACCACGATTTGCAAGAAACAGACGAATTTTGCAAGAAACGGCACAAGATCTCCCAGGCGCTCCTCAATTTTGATGCCTCAAGCCCATAACTCCTTGCGCTTGTTCGTCATAATGCACTACTTCATGTAAACCTTTCATATAGTGACTCGCATGAAATTTTTTATTAGCGCCTGGGGACGAGGCAGTAATTCGGGTATCTTAATTTTGCGTTGTGCCTGCCCGTCTTTTGTGTACATATAAACAGTATTGCCATCTGCGGCAATTAATTTTGTTTCTTTACAGTCGGAGGTCCCCCTTAATAAGCTGGCGGGCAGATACGATATATGAGATATATAGCCCCCGACATATAATTCGTCGGGAGAATACAGTTCCACACATACGTTACCAATATACAGGCTTTCCGTCTTGCAATTTAAAATGGCAATCCTCCCGTCCTTGTTTATTGCCATGCACACTTCCGGTTTAATTTTCAACCAAGAAAAAAGATCACAAGAGCTTCTTTGATCAAAAGGTAACGGAGACTCATGTTTTTTGTTTCCATTCTCATCACAGATAAACAACTGAAAATTCCATGATTCATCATCACTTTCTAGGAATGAAGTGATGAAATATAAGTTATCTTCGGCATCGATACCCATCGCGATAACGTGGCATTCTGATGCATGCTCTTTCCTTGGAGCTTCACACAGAATACGACTTTCACCTGAAGGTTTAAAAATTTTAATATCCCGACCCTGCGTGATTGCAACAATTTCTCCCTTTCCGTTTACAACAGAATGTGCTCCAGAGTAAATGCTTTCATCAAATGTAAAATCTGAACCCAGTGACATTACTTGCATACTAGACCCTTTAAGTTTTTCAATAATGCGATCTTCTCCAAACACGGGATGGTAAATTTTCTCACCGAGCAAAATCGTCGGCCAGGCAGAAATCCTTGCGAGCAATGATGGTTTCGTGAACTTTTTGACGAACTCCAACAATACTTGATTCATTGCTTGAACTGGCGAGGCATTGTCAAGTCGCTTCGTTTTACTGAACCTCGACTTGATTCCTCCGTGAATCAGAACGGAAAATATTTCTTGAATAGCTCCGATATCATGAAGCTGTTGAAGGTACTGCAAGCAATCGCTAGCGCTTGCCTCTGGGTCTTCCAATTTTTCTAAAATTCTCGCCATCATTCTGACCTGCGAGGCTTGAATTCGGTCTTCGATGGACAGCGCTTCGTTACAGAACGCTTCGGTCGCTTTTTCACGCGCGAGTTTGAACGATTCTATTGCAGACTTGAAGCGGTCGTTTGAACGTATTTTCAATGACGTCATGGCATTTATAAGAGCAATAGCTTCGTTGATGGGAGAATCAGGACCAGTGTCTCTGGATGACGCAGCTTCAAGTAAGGTTGCTTGACCGGTCGATTCTGCTGTATTCTCATTTGAATCCAATTGAAGTAGGGACTGATATAGTCCATTGACTCCTTCTTGTAGAAAACAACGGCTACTGAGTAAATCCTTCCTTGCCAAACCGTCCAACTTGCTTTTGATATCGTCGAGTTCTCTGACGATCAAGCGCCAACATTTTTCGTCCGTGACGTCGCCATCTTTTAAACGTTCTGCAATTCCACTGCGAATCTTGTTCGCTAAAAATCCAAATGTAAGTTTCACAACACCGGTTAGGGACCGGTCATTATTTATGGCGGGGGGTGGCACCGAAGAGAAAAAGGTTGGGTAAACAAAATTTTGAGTAAGTAAAAGGTTGGGTAAATGAAAAACAAAACAACTCAAGGGTTGGGTAATAAAAATTTATTGTCATTTCCAAAGCATGACCCACTGAAATATATTGGAGACTGAAAAGCAATGTCAACAGTCATTTGTCAATACAATATGTGAATCAATCAGAGTCATTATCTTGATCATAGTTTGACAAAACAAATTGTGTTTCCAAAGAAAGTACATGTGCAGACAGCATGAAACTTTAGACTGCAGAAAATTTCACAAGCCGTTATCAAATTCATGTCACTGAAGTGATAATGACATGTGTGACAACTGAATGGTATCCTTTTGTTAAGTTTTTGGCCAGGGGTGGGTAGTTATTTTTTAATTGATATTTCAGGTTGGGTAGTCAAATTTTTGTCTTTTTAATGGTTGGGTCAGCAAAATTTTTGACACGGAAAACATTTCTCTTCGGTGCCACCCCCCGCCATAAATAATGACCGGTCCCTTACTACCTCAGACATTTTGAAATCAGTGAAGCATTTACCAAACAATCGTGATATTACGGTGCGCCTACAGTAAGTGGGGCCACTTAGAGAACACTAACCAATCGCATTGCAGAACAAAAAGAAAAATCTAATCAAACTAAAGCTTGTTCAATCAAAAGAAAGATTGAGGAAGCCATTAACTGCAGTGTTTACTTTTATAAGTCTATTTTTACCGTTTGACATTCGTTTCTTTGTTCAAATTGTTTTTGACCTAATGCTGATTGGCTAATGAGCCGTTTGTTGATTTTTTCAATTTTTGTTCTGCAATGTGATTGGTCAGTGTTCTCTAAGTGGCTCCACTTACTGTAGACGCACTGTAATACCTTGAGAGAGTCACAAGATCAAGGGCGGGAGAAGAGAGGGCATCGTTAAATAAACGCCTGCCCAAATGCTTATGACAAATTTGTTCTTCTCCGAAGAATCTTCGGAAAAGCTTCCCATTGGTTAATTTCGTGAACGGAAGTAATTACGTAACTTAAATGTCAACAACAATTTTGCTCGCGTATCGAAATAGCGATATCCCTGTTAAAAATATGCCTGTTAATGCTTTGGAGGAAACTCTTTCTTATATTTCAAGTATTTAGGCTTCGAAATTCAGTTGAAACCAGAAAAGAGAAAGTCTATTATTAATTTGCTACATGATGAAGACGCCGGTTATCGCGATTCTTCCTACGGGATACGGAAAAGTTTGAGTTTCAATTATACATTTATATCGGCAAATTATTACCTATTACTGATGCCAGCACGAGCAGGGATCGAATATTTCTTATAGTTGTCTTGATATTTGTTGAGGCTACATTACTTGGCATTGCAGCTATGAAGTTGGACGATGATTTTATAAAGAACTAGAGGGCACTCAGAGACTGCATACCTCCGCCCGTTACTCGGAAGTGAAACGCAACCTTGGAATTTCCTAAGAAATCCACTTTATAATTCTTAAGCATAAAAGATTTCAGG